GCCAAAAAAAAAAAAAAAAAAAAAAAAAACCATTGTGAATACCTTTTAGAAAGAAAAAAATGCATAAAAACACCAGAAGTCACAACTAAAAGGCATTCTTTTCTTCTCTGACTCTTGTCCTGCTGGAAAATGCTACTTCAGTACATCAGTATACCTTAATACAAGTTAAATAGCCTTCATGAGAGCTTTTCCTCTGTACTGTTAACACTGTACAGCCTGAGGGGAGTATGTGGGAAGTAGTAGGTCAGCCTAAACCCCCTTGCCCCACCTCTATATTCTGTAGCCTTTTTCTCCACAACCCTGACAACCAACTGTGATATCTATAAAATATGCAGATACAGGAACTACCTCCAAACAATTTAGAATTTACTTCTGAGTTTCTTGTGGATAAACCTATGTGCCTCCCTTATCCCCTTTTCTCCTTCTCATTGTTTGTGAAGATCTAGTTTGTAAGTTGTGAAGCTCAGATTCAAATTCAGATCTACCTGATTGCCAAACCCCATGCTCTTTCCACTTCAGTTCATGGCCTCTAAAGTCTCCTGCCCAAATGAAAGACACNCCCCATGCTCTTTCCACTTCAGTTCATGGCCTCTAAAGTCTCCTGCCCAAATGAAAGACACTTACCATCTGACTTCTAGTCATCATTGTGGAACTTTTACTTTTCAAGGAAATTTAATAAAAGGAAGGAACTGTTAATACTGCAAACATTTAACATTAAAACAAAATAACCTAATGTTTACTGTCTGCTGCCTCAATTCTACGAGAATCTTTTTTTCCTTGTCTGTGTCCTTTAAATGTTTTCCTCAATGATGCAAGCCTTTATTTTTCCCTTTTTTCCCCCTAAATTGTTGTCAGGCTTTGGGATTACAAGTTAATAGTAGTATAATCATTTAATTTCAGGTAAAACCTACTTTATTGAACTGATTGTAAAAAAGGAATTATTTTGCAGATTCCAAATGGTTTAGAGCTGGATTTAACAATGGCAGATATTTATTTAAAATATTAGATTAAAAAATTCTCTATTTGACAATTCAATACCAGTTTTGGAATATAGAATGAAAATATAATTCAACTAGTTAGGTACATCATTGGAGCAAACTGTATGAACTTTCTTTTTATTTGGGGGAATGGATAAATTCTTTTTTATAATATATTCGACACAAAAAAAAGGGTATTGTTATATCTAACTTACAAAACATAAAATGAACACCTGTGAATCCACTTAGAGTGACTTAAGAAATAGAAAATTACTGTGTGCTTTCCCCTTATTATATTTTCTACCCCCTCCCAGTAATAATCCTTCTTCAAAATTTTATTTTTATTTTTCCTCTAGCTTTTATGAGTTTTATCTTTTTTCCTATTGGCAAAAAGGTTTTTTTCCTTGTTTGTTACCATTTCACCTTAATCTTAAGTGAATGACTGTCCTCAAACTGAAATTTAGCATATTAAATTATAAGCTAATGTATGTAAGTATTTGAATATAGTGTTGGTACAGTTGATTTAAATGCACATGTAAGGAAACTCTTAAGAAGATTTGAGCCTAGGCAGTAGAGAACTGTGTTTACAAAATCTCAGAAAATCAGCCCCCCCACCTTTTTTTTTTTAAATAAAGATGACCAGTAAGGGGATCTTAACCCTTGACTTGGTGTTGTCAGCACTACACTCTCTGAAGTGAGCTAATCAGCCATCCCTCTATAGGGATCCGAACCCGTGGCCTTGATGTTATCAGCACCACACTCTCCCGAGTGAGCCACGGGCCAGCCCCGCCCCCCCCCTTTTTAAAACATAAATAATGTTAAATAATTTTATTAGAAAGTTTGGCTAATTAGGCATAGACAAATGGACAGCTTTTTTTTTTTGCCATTAAACAGAGGATACATAATTTTATTATAATAGCAGAGAAAAAATTTAAATAGCCAAGTTTTAGGCCTAGCAATATTATGAACTTTATGAGAGCAGAATCTCAACAGGTCATGTTTTAGGCACACTGAGATGACAGCAGAATTTTTTTTTTAGGTGATCACAGTCCCATGGCTTGATTTTATTTATTTATTTATGTTGGCTATGAATATTCATGGAGTACAAAGCTGGCCGTCATCACTCGTGCCCAAGATGTGATGGCCAGATCAGTCAATACTGGCAGCATGTCCATCACCACAAATAGCAAATATACTCCATGTCCCCCACCTAATTAATCCCCAAACTCCCTCCCCCTTCCCCTTACCCCCACCTCACTTTGTATCCCTAGGTCTGTTCTTTCTCTCTGCAAGTCCAGTGCACCACTATGGTCTTTCTTTCCTTCCTTCTTTCTCTCTGAGCTCCCACTTAATGAGTGAGGACATGTGGTATTTTTCCCTCTGAGCTTTGCTTATTTCACTCAACATAAGTTTCTCCAGGCTCATCCATGTTGTTGCAAATGGCAGAATTTCACTCTTTTTTTATGGCAGAGTAGTATTCCATTGTATATATATATATACCACATTTTCCTTATCCAGTCCATTGATGGACATTTAGGTTGATTCCATATCTTGGCTGTTGTAAACAGAGCTGAGATGAACATGGGAGTACAGCTATCCCTTCGACATGATGATTTCCATTCCTCTGGGTATGTACCCAGGAATGGGATTGCTGGATCATATGGTAGATCTATCTGTAGTTGTTTAAGAAACCTCCATACTGTTTTCCATAGTGTTTGTGCTAATTTACAGTCCTACCAACAGTGTAGGAGCGTTCCCCTCTCTCCACCTCCTCACCAGCATTTGTTAGTTACCGTCTTTTTGATTATAGCCACTCTAACTGCTTTGAGGTGCTTTTTTGAACATGTTGGATCCATGTGGTAGATACTTTCTTTGTATTACTTAGTCTTTTCCAGCAATGCTATTGTGTATTTCTCCTGATACATTTATTAAATGCAAGAAAAAAATTATTTATAAATGTTGCTATTTGTGTTATGTTGTCTGACTTTGCTAGATATACTTAATCGCATATTTATATAAAATCCAAATTGTTTTTTAAATTTTATATATTTTAAAATCAAATTGCCTACTTTGGTTTAAGTTTTTTTTAATATTGCATTTCAGAAAAACCATAGGGTCATTTGTACATTTAGATTATAACATCTATTACTTAGTTTTTGAAATAATGTGTTCCTATAAAATATTTTGATGAATGTCTTATATTTATTTAGTTGCTTTCCTATGTTTTCATTAGTCAATGGAAGAGAGAATACTACATGTCTTTTTAAAAAACAATAACTGTTTTTATTTAGAAATAAAATAACTATAAATCATCATTATTATTAATAATGCAGTTCAGATCAAAGATAAATTATCCTAGGGATACATTCTGGTAGATAAGACTTTAAAAATAGCTGTTTCCTTGAATTTGTGGAAGTTGCTTAAATAGCATCAGGATGAAAATCTATCTTTTTAATCATATAAGCTTTTTCTGTAGTTATAGAAATAATGCTTTCTTCCTTTGTACTAAGGATAAGTAGAGAAGTATCTCAGGAACTGAAAAAGGAGAGGGTTTATCCTTCTTTTCCAGTTTAAATGAAGAGAAAGACAAATGAACACTGAGAAACTTGCCTAACACTGCATTAAATCTTGTAAGTGATATGTTCTGTCTTATTCAGTTATTCTGGTTATGAGCAGAGCTGGGCCTTAGCAAAGACAATGCCAGGCAGCCAGTTAGAATTCTTATTATTAGCAGGACATGGTAAATACTACATGCACAGCCAAAGAGGCCTTAGTCACAGGAGGGATAGCAGATTTAGTAAAGAAGATGTTTGATCATGAGCTGGAATAGGGGTAGGACCAATATAGTGAAGATCCTCAAATAAATTTTTAAAAACCTAATGTGGGATAAATCCACATTGTACTGGATAGAGGAAAGATGCAGGAATGCTCAGAAACCAAAGTGAATGAGGCTTGTATTCAGAAATATCCCATGATTATTTGGTCTACTTCATTACAAAGTCAGAACATTTTCTGTCCCATAGAGCTGAGCTTTTGAAACAGGTCTCTTCTCCTGGTTTACCAGCCTATGTTCCAATATCTTCAGGATTCCTTAGCATGCAAATATATTCATAGAATACATGAACCATTCAATTTTACTCATGTATATTACCAAACCAAGGCTTTAATCAAAACATTTTGCTACTGGGATTCTCTAAGATTTTTCTTTACACTCTTTAAGACATTCTTCACAAAAACTTTTCATTGCTTTAATTGCATCAGTTAAATTTTTTGAAAACATTTTATTAGTTTCTTTATAAATATTACCTTTTTTGTTAGGATGGTCGTTTGAAGCCAGGAGATCAACTTGTCTCAGTAAACAAGGAATCTATGATTGGTGTATCATTTGAAGAAGCAAAAAGCATAATTACCAGAGTCAAGTTGAGGTAACTATCCTATACATAAGATATAATGAGTCATTTAGCATTCTCCTTAAAAATAGTAATCTCAGATGTCTTAAAGACTTTAGATCCTTAAAGAAATATTTTTCAAAAATATTTGAAACATTATCTTAGAATTCAATTGCACTCTTTCCATAGTGTATCCATAAATTAATTTCTTTTTAATACTAGGTCAGAATCTGCTTGGGAGATAGCATTCATAAGACAAAAATCTGATGGCAGTCATCTGGAAAATTCATTGTGTACATCCATTTTAGCAACTTCAGGAGAATATGGACCTCAAGCTTCAACATTTAGTCTTCTTTCTTCTCCCCCTGAGGTACTAATTCCAAAGACCTCATCCACTCCCAAAACTAAAGATACCATTTTACCTTCTTTTAAGATAAGTCAGGTAACCTTAAGTTTCTCTGTTTATATATATATATATATATA